GTTCGGTAATGACCTTACTTACTAGGCCCTAGTACGCTTCCGTGCATGTACCGGAGAGACTATAACTTACTCTAATTGACATCTGCGACTTCGTATCACATAACATTCAACGCTGTTTTGTTTTTGTATAGAAACTGTTCAAGGAAAGACGTCCTTAATCTGGCTCTTTCAAGTGTGTCGTGATTCTTTTCAGACTCGTACAGAGCGTTTAAACAGCGAGCAACACTTTCATCAATTCATCATGATTCTCAAACGTATCCAATATCAAGTAATATAAAGCGTTCCTCATTCACGTTCAGTTGGTTCCAGTTAAAATGCCTATGTCACTATACCGATTAGACTTCCTGTAATTTTAACCTGGGCGTCTACTGTAATTCCGCATTTTCTGTGTCTTGGTGAATATCGCTTCCCCAAAATATGTAACAAATATAATTTCCATCAACAACTACACATTTTTCTTTCTAAATCGACGTACATCATCTAAATGTCTTAGCCAGCGCCACTACACGAATAAATAAATGCGATTGTTTCATACAAGTCGACATAAAATAATCAAACGACCTTCCAACACATCGCTATAGCAAACAAGGCTTACCTGAGTAGTGTGCCAAAAGACAAGCGAAGTCCTCATGCGATACAAGATGGCTACTCTTGTCAGTCCTTCAAGAAATGTTAGGTTATCTCACGATATTCACCAACATAATATAGCACCCATCATCACTAGCAAACATTATCACTATTCCAAGACATATTGTATGTGTTGGCTCACAACATTCATGGATTACGAAACTTGATTTACGTATAATACACTGAAATAAATTATCACTCAAACACGAACGACACACACACACACACCCACTCAGCAGCAAAGCGGTCAAGACAAATGACAATTCGATTTACATCGATAATCTAAGAACTTAATCCAAAGATACAACGGAACACAATGCAATCAATCAGTCAAGCTTCCCCAAATCGAACAACTATTGAACACACCTCTCTACAAGCGAGATTTTTTCCTCACTAAAAATTTAAATTATCTGCTGCCTACACTGCAAAGATAAATCCACAACTAGATCCTCCGCCATTTTTACATTGTATACAATTAGACGGGACAAAATTCTCCAATCTTTCTTTTATAAATTCTCTCAAATAAAACAATTGACATGGTTATGATGAAATATCAACAACTTTACTCAAAATCTGTGCAGACTATGTTAGTCTTCCTTTAAGTTATCTTTGCAATAATCACTGGCAGTTTTTTTTCCAGAATGACTAAAATATTCGTAAGTCAAACCCCTATACAATAAAGGTGAAAAATTATGCATATCTAAACAGAAACCAATTTCATTAGCAACAGCTTTCTCTAAATTATTTGAGAGTCCTGTGTAAGAGGGTGACCAACTTTGATTTAGGAGAAGTCTCTCAGCTGATTACAGCCTTTCCAATTTGACATATGAAATCTTAGGCGCTCTTAATAATATGCATGTCAGTGTAATATCTTGTAATCTTTCAAAGTATTTGATTCTATCATGAATTATTAGTCAAAACTACATTTTTGTGGAATTCAAAATACAGCTTCATGATAGAAGGCAACTAGCAAAAATAAAATCACCGATTCAAATTGGGGCATTATAAAACAGAGTTCCTCTAGGTTCAATACTGGGTCCTCTGCTTTTCCTCATATAAATCAACGATTTACCACCAACCATCAGTCAGAACCGATACTCGCTGTGGATGATACTATTATCATTATTTCACGTCCATATACCGAATGTTTCCAAATTTGTATGAATGTCTTTCCTAGCTTGAACAAATGGATTAAAGCCAATAAATTCACATTAAATTTTGACAAATATACTTCATGAAATTCTGTACTACCAACAAAAATTACGTTAATCTAGGCTTTCAGTACGAGGATGAAACAATGGAAGTAGTAGATTTCTTGGCGTAAAAGTTGACAAATTAAAATGGAAGAAACACGCTCGATACATCATCCCTAAACGAAGGTCGGCATGCTTTGCTATGAGGACCGTAACGTAACTCATGAAAACATAAACTTATATTTGTAGATCACGCCAAACACTGACCTCAGTAAATATCTAAAAGTAGTTTACTATACTGGACTTACGCTACAGATGCTAATGTAGTGGACGTGGTACAAATACTGTACAGAGAAGTTACAGTACGCCATTCAACAATGCAACTGGCTACTGACCCAATAACCAAGGTTGGATTCCAGACCTGGGCATCAGCACTTTGACTTTCAGTTTAGGTAAAGGGCTCTGTGAGGTGACAATGTGTACAGCCCACATACACAACACAGAACCCCAGTTATGTCACAAGTCCCTTAGAGGTTCATTCTAAAGACAACGGGTGAACAAGGTTAAAAACATAACCTAGAAATATCTTTATTATGTGATCTCATAAAACTAATGCCTTGTAACTATACACAAAAATGCCACATCCTTTACATAGATACATGGAAAGTAGCTATTTACATAATTCTTTCTTGATATATTATCAAAACCTTATACTAATTTGAAAGCCATCTGGAATTTATATAATAACTTTGGAATACATACCTTGTTATTAATTAACTTACGCGTAACTTGCAGCGAGTCCGACTTATTGCTCAATCTCAATCTGAAGAAATGTTTTGATATTCCCTTAATTTCAATAACACAGAAAAGTAAATAAGAGAACTGCGAGAGCCATAAAATACGTTTTCAGGTCATTTTGAATCATCTGGAGTGAAGTTACTGACACGGGAGGTGGACATGTTACCTACAGATCTGAAGATTTCACTTGCGACGTTCCTAACCTAATATTTTCTTATATAGGTTATCACATTTCTAGCAATAACATAACTGTAAAAATTACAATCTTATAACATTCATAGTAAAACAGAGTTATATTTTAATTAATAATTAAAATAAACAGAACAGATACTTTAAAACTTGAGATGACGATGTTCTCACATTTACAATACATCTGTCTCCTCTACACGTAACAAGCGACAAGCAGATCACAATCACCAGAAATGTTATTGATTTAAGAATATTAACAGTACAATTAGTAATTATCCTTAATAGGTGGAAATAAACATTAACCTTTATCATATGGGTGCATGGGGTTTAAACCCTGTATTACAGGGTTGCCAGCCAGACTTTAATTTTAATCTAAACAGTTCAGCGGTACGCTAACGCAACGTATGACCACCTACACTGTGCATAAGCTCTGATACCCAAACAATGTCTGTCCTCAAACGCTACTCTTTGAAGGAAACATTAAGCGTTAAAAAATAAAACTGAAAGTGGACATCAAGGCATCATGTGGATTATGGCTGAGCTTTCTGGGTGTTAAGTTAGCGTATAAGAGTAACACCGTCAGATTGTAGAATGCTCCAGTATTACAAATCCTTAAAGAAAATACACAATACATATCACAAGTGTTTTTTAGTTACAAATAATGCGAAAATCACTCTTAAAGACACATCTGCATTAAACTGGACAAAAATCAAGTGAATGCTCTCCAGATTTTTAAAACAGAAGTGTGAAAATTCCTTACTAGACAAGAAACATGACAGAAAACTTTAGAACATTCAACACTGGCCAGATACCACCATGGCACGTTAACGACTATGCGCATGCCACGAGGCCAAACAGACAGAACGATATTCTTTTCAACAAACTAAAATTATATGCAAAAGCATCTGCATCTTTACATGTTTCAAATTATTTTTTATAAAATTGAACAATGAAGTTCCAACTGAAAAATACATTTACTGACACGAATATCAACAAGCGACGCATTAAAATTTGAAAGTAAATAGAAAATTAATTATAATTGGTTACTTGAAACATCTTGGTCACAGGGAAAAATAAAAAATGGTATCCAGTTGCATTTCCTGTCAGCAGAGATGTCTCACTGTACATAGTTAAACTTGAGCACATACAATTCCCTACAAATAGCAAAGACAAAGAAGTAGCGCATACTGCAGTGATTCATTTATGCTTGCTTTCATAAAGTGATAATTATTTCAGTCTCTCTCGACAAGTCTTATTATTTCTATCTACATGACATTTCTTTACACCAGGCATCCTCTTGGTCGAGTCTGCCGCATGGTCCGAAGAACGTGCTTGATGGCAAACTTGTACTTCAACAGGGATGTAAGAAAGATGGTCCACTTTGAAAGTACTCCCTCACATTAGTTTCGTGACTCTTTACGACAACGCTCGCTGCAATGAAGACTGCCAACACGAGGTTTCACTATTGCAAAGTGTTTGTTACTCCTAAATAATGCAGAAACTGATATGTTAAACTTCCTGTGTTCAGAGAGGTACTAGACGATTCAATTAATACGACGACAACCCGGCATCATTTGATGCTCTCTCAAGTTTCTTCAGTATCACAATTTTCAGAAGCACCTGCCGCACGATCTCCCGTCTTAAAAGAGTTCCGTACCTAGACCGTATCACAAACCAGATTCATAAATCACGTCTTCACAGCTGCCATCAATTAGCATTATTGTTGGAACCAGTAGGCGTTCCTAAGTTGTCAATTTCCCTCTGGGCTCGTGAGATTTTAACTTTATCTCGCGGAGTGCCATCTTCTCCTGTTTCCATAGCAAACATTTTCATTTTCTCCTTAAAACTGAGTTTCTCCGGCAGAGGACCTGATCGTGTTGACAGTAATTTCTGGTGCTGCTGAGCGGCCAGTAACCTAGCACGTGGATCTCTGAGGGAAGCACAAATTATCAGTCAGGTTTATCGGACTGCATTACACATTCCTTCACCAATATAGGAAATGCACCGTGATAATGACAACCATCACCCGCAACACAGCTCACAGTTACCAGTCCCTACGTCGGAGAAAAAAATGTGCCACCCCGCAAAGTTCTTCCTATTCCAGGAAAGCAAATGGCGTGTGATCGTGTTGGTTGGCAAAACCTGTGTCATTATCTACATGCAGAAAAATCAATGCTGAATAAAACTCTTATAAGCAGAACACTGAACATCACAGCAAGTGGCCAACCCGACCACAGCTCTTCGTTGATCCATCCCAAAAAAAAATATGAAGACGGTCCTTAAATTGGGCCAAGATCACCTACTCCCAAAGTCTTCTAATTTTACTATTCATTGATCATCTTATCATATACTATATGGTATGAGCTCCCGAGAGCATTGTTAAACAAACCATGAAGACTAGACGAGACTTCACGGAATAACCCAGAAAGACCACAATCCGCACGAGTAATATTACTTACTTGTAAACTTCCTGAGCTCCGATCACTCCCGGTGTATTTCCAGAAAACAAACCGCCATCTGGGCTCTTTGGAGATGCCAATAAAGTCTCAGCCTCATTAATGAAGTGCTGCAACAGGCACAGGTACGTTAATCGTACGACTTGCATGAAACAAATACGGCGCGTCACGCACCAAACTGACTACAAAATGACGGCATTTAATTTTGAACCGACTACGTGGAGCAAAGTCCTTCCTGAGAAGCCAAACAGCCACTACTAAAGATGAATGCAACTGTCACTTCCTGGCTCCCAGCAGGAACTCCACGACTACCCGCCAAGTGCTTCGAGGTTTCTACGTCGAGTATCTCTAGATAAGAATAATAAAATTACCTTTCCTATATCGTAGTAGTTCCTGCCAGAAACTGCGAAACGACATTTGCGTTCAACTTTTTTAACTTCAACCAAGTGTTACTTACATCGGGATCCTCCCGAATCTGTTCCATCGGCGGCTGAGGCGGTGGCTGATTGGCGTTTGGATCGTGGAATGACACCCTTTTCGTTGTTGGATTAGCTTCTGACCCCCTGCTATGTGCCATGCTGCTCCGCTCAGAGCCGGCTGACAACATATTTGTACTGGGATTTCTCAATACACCCTGCGTTTGAGACATTACTGTAAATGACGATCCCCTCTCTGGTGGCTGAGGTGGAACCAGAAGATTCGAGTTCCTTTCATTCGAACTACTCGTCTGCTGACCACTGCTCATTAGCAGAAGGGAGTCTAGCCTCTGTGCACCACTTTGCTGTAAGGGCGATGCGCTATTAACAAATGGCGGCTTTGATTCCTGATGCTGGTAATAATTAATTGACTCTACTTTCTGCGTTGCATTCGGTGACAGCGGCAATGTGGTACCTGCAGGTGATTTACTGTGGTCATGTTGGTGATAGTTGCTTGTCGTGGTAGTAATGTTGTTTGATGACTGGGATGTAAGATAACCATTATACTGTTGATGAGGATTTGTGGGCTGATAGGTGGTGTGATGAATCTGCGGAGGAGGAGACGCTGGACCGTTTATGACAAGGTTATCTAAACGCAGATGGCTAGGATTGGCAGGTTTTGGTGTAGGTAGCATGTACTGATTATTGTTTGGTGTTGTTACTGCGTGTGGAACATGAGTCAGTGGTCTGGACACGGATGTATTGCTTTGTTGACTTGGAGATAAAATTTGATTCTGTGGCTGATGTGGAGACATCGGCTGTTGCAGCATCTGATGTTGAAGATTGTGTCTAATTTCTTCATCCTGGAAGAGTAAGAAACTTTTATGCAATAAGTGATGGCAATCATGAAAAACATAAACACTGCGTGACGATACCTTGTGGGGTAATTTCCTGTTCTTCCTCCTGACTGACCTTAGCAACGTTGTTCAGCACAGTCTGTCGCACTATTTATAAAAACTGAATACACCACAAAACCAGCCTATTGGCTCAATTGGTTCACTAGCAGGGAAGACACAGGTTAAGTAAAAAATATTTTAATAGTGGCGCATTTCTACGGATTGCAAGAATACAGAGTCCACTTACCCTTCGTTTTGAGGTATCATGCAACATCCAATCCTCCTCCTCCCTGCCGGAGTTCACCTCTGTTTGCTTCCGTTTAATCTCCTCAATTCTCTTGACCTTCTCCTTCTCATCTGTCACAGTATTTGCTGTGGATGGCAAAGTGTTAGCAGCAGGCAGCACTGACGGTCGCCCATTTTGCTGAAAATCTTGCGGTCGCCGAGTATTCTGGCTTCGACTGTGGTCCGCATCATCTTGCTGCTGTGCTGCCATGTGCAACAAACCTTGTACTCGATCCACACTCTCCTGGAAAGACACATTTCACATGATAGTATCAACAACCAGTCACATATAATGAGACTGGTGGTATTACTCTCCCAGGAATGAAAGACATTTCTTGAAATTAATCGCACATATTGTGCGGTATACACAGTCTGGACTACTGACAGTAATATTAAAAACATCATAAATAAACAGAAAAATACAGTGATTTTGACACAGAATACAGTACAACCCCTCTATAACGCGGTTCGCTATACCGCGGTTCCGGATAAAACTATACCTCATGTCCCCCATAGTGCAGCATAGTATTTTCTTTTAGTGTTAGTGTATAATTTTAGTAGCGTAAAAAGTATTCAAAGTATATAATTATCATACAAAAATGCTTCCTTCCTAATCCTTTAAAATTCACCAAATATGAAACACTTACATATCATGCAACGCTAAATAACCACTACAATTGATACAGGTAATTAAACAAGCAATTGTTCATTCATTGCCAAACTATATTCCACCTTCCGACATGCTGCCAATCACCCTGTGCATAAATATATCTTCCAAACAGAAAACCAAACTTATTTGATTAAAAGCTCGGAGTATGAGCAAGGGACACAACACGGCTCACAGCAAGAGCCTCATTACATTTTACAGTCCAGCAAACTTCGAAAAATCATGCTGTAGAACAAAGTAATGACATCTTACATTACTGCACGAAAAGCATTGACCCTAGCAGAGTACTACGGCGTTGGTTCCGCAGAACCCAAAGAAGGTAAGGGTAAATGTAGTACAACGCATAACCACAAACACACACACTCTGCTCCAAAGCCACAACAAAAGCCCGGGGAATCCTAATCTCCCTTACTTGTTCCTCTTCGCACTCCTCCTCTTCCTCTTGCCGCGCGCACTCCTCTGCGCGTCGCTGGAATTCTCGCTCCAACTTGAGTGCTCGCAGCTGTTCCTCCTGCTGAGACGTGCGCTGAGGCAGGCCACCCAGTTCCGAAATCTGCTGGTCACGCCACGCTCTCGCAGCCTCTCGCCGACGCTGCTGCTCCTAGCCAGTGAAAAGGGCGGGCAGAAACCGAAAGCACACGGATTGGAAGGACTGTTACGACATGCACATCACAAAGACACAAAAGACGTAACACATTACCAAACCTGTACACATTGTGCTTGGGGTTCATCGAAGGAATCTTAACATTCTGTGGAGCCCTCTGATGTTGGACTCGAGTCAGCATGGCAGATCAGACATTTATTTATCAAGAAAGTGTACTACAAATTACTTGATCTTTCAGTATTACCAATTTAATACAAACTCCATTCTCACTCAAAGCATCATCACAACTATTGCTAATTTAATTCTATGGTTCTCTGAATTAATCTTATAAATGAGCACTGAAACTTCTATAAAAATACAGAAGTACATCTGATCAGTGCGATAACATTTCTTTTGAACAAAGCGTACTAAATACTAAACAGTGTACAAATGTACAGATCAAATGACACAAACTTCTTATGTGTCACAACGTTCATTATCATACAGGAACAAACTGCATTTGGTACGTACAAGTGACAAAAGAAATCTGATTGATGCTAACGAAAATGAGAACAATGGAACGCATGTATTAACAGAAACTCTTGAATCAAAGCAAACATAATCAGGGGCCATTCTTTAAAAAAGGTAACACAGACATTTTGAAAAGGTATGGAAGGAGAAACCAAAGGGAACAGAATAAAAAAACTAAAAAATCAGACAGAACTAATTAAGAGCACATTCTAAGAATGAAACGAAGACAAATTCAGACAGTTTTGAGCATGAAATTAATAGGAAGATGCCCAAGAGAGAGATCAAAATCAAGGCGGAAACAACGGGTTAGCAAAGCTGTCATACAGAGACACTCAGTTGTCAAATGAGCCACGTCAGAGGAAGAAAAAGAAAAGAAACACAGAAAATATGTCATCTTAGATCACCTACACATTCAGGTTTACCCAGACTTAAAACAAGACTTGCAATAACTTAATGTGCTTCAATAAGGTCAGCCACAGATTGTCAACCTTCCTTCATCGGCAACTTAAGAATAGTTCGAAAAGAATCACAGTACACAGAAACACTTGAACGAACCATAATATTGCAAAACAAAGAACCAATTAAATTCCAACACCACAGGAGCATTCAAAGTCAACAGGCAAGCAGAAATTATTTGAATATCTGATTACTTTTTCCCGTTCCTCTCTTTCCCAAGGGTTTGTGGCATTAAACTGGTAGTGGCGAGACGGCTGGTTTCCGGTGCCTGGAGAGGCGGGGTAGTAGGTTCCTCTAGGAGGCTCCCCCATACTCGCTGTATACCTGTCAACAGAAATAAAACAATAATTTACCTCACAGAAAAATCACGAAGTATAGTGAAGCTACTTAAGACGACAGAAAACGGCACACAGTCATCTTCAGGGTAGAAGTCCTTTGATATGTCAGTAACTGCCCAGAAGATCACAACCCAACCACCGTTAATCATTTTTAAACTTCTTGCACGTGCACGGAAGTCCGAGTTACAATAAACGCGCATTCACCACCGTAATGTAACTGATCTTCCCTTGATCCATATTTGGCTAGATTCTTTCAAACCGAAAACTGTACAGACCATAATTAAACACTTCCACTGCAAGCTAACGTGAGTATTCGGAGCTGATCCCCAAATAAATTTATTTCTTCCCGCCCCTTAAATGAGCAAGGTTCATGAATTACGTCAAAGGTGATACCGACCTGTTATCAGAATTTGCAGAAGGCGAGAGCAGTTTCTGTCCTGTATTCGAGCTTCCTGACTGGTAAAGAGGATGCGTTGACGTTGGAGGTGGCGGTGGTGGAGGAGAGTCTCTGTAACCCACATCTTCAGGGGGCATGGATGGTCGAGCAGACCCTTGCGAATCGCTGCCTAAAGGCGGCCTTACTTGTCCCTGAATTTCGTGTCCCAACACATTTTGGTGGTTAGAATCTGCGGGGATGGGTGGCCTCTGTAATTCACTGCCGGCGTGTACGGGGCCCGGATAACGGTTAGGTTTGGGTGCTGTGGGAGGAGGGGCATACCCCACATGAGGATGAGCTCCACTATATGATGGGGACGACTGAGGCTGGCCACCACCGGGGGACTGCGAAAAAGGCAGCATGGTGTTATGCTGAACGTGAAGGGGATTGTTTGGGTCTTGGTTGTGATACGGATAATTGGTGTTGGGGACTCGTTGAGGATGGCCAGGCAACATCTGAAACAGAAATTTAAAATCTGTGTAAGTTTAATTAAATATTAACATAATGCAACGATGAAAAAAATCAATTAAGCTAATATAAGCAGCCAACAGCTAGTCATCTTCCTTATCATATATCGTGAGCAACTGCCCCGCACAACATAATAAATGCCACCCCACCTGAGGTCGGGCATGCACTCCTGGTTGCAGGGGATAATGCTGCGGCGACGTGACTCCTCCTCTCATTTCCCGTCTCCGGATTTCTTCTTGCATTTCTTGCAGTTTTGCTTCTTGCCTCATGATGTCACGAGTTGACTGAGAACGGGGAGCCATGCCCTGCAATTAGCAGTCAAGTAACTTCATGATATGATAGAGTAAGTTTAAAGTAACTTTAATTTCTATTACTGCCCGCGGAACGCAGGAACTTAATATGCACCACCAGTATTTATGAACTGATTACAACTTACGGCTCTTACACGAAAATTAAACTTAAAAGAGAACCCGGAGTGTCGTAAGATCAGAAACAAACGAAACGTTACTTGATTACTTACCGAGACATGTTGAGGGCTACCATACTGATCTTTCTGGGGAATGTAGGCTGAGGCCGGGCGATCTCGTGTACCAGGTTGTAGGCCATCTGGCGGACGGTGCAGAGACGACTGCGAGCCTCGCAAACTTTTCTGCTGGTGTGTCGGACTTCTGCAAAACAACAGCGTTACAGAACAGGTATAATGCCAAACTCTTCGGTGCTAGAGACAGACGTAAAATTTTTCAGACTCACGGTAACTTAAATGTATTTATTCGCCTGTTAAGTTTTAAGGTCACAATATAAATAAAACTGTACAGAAAGAATCTCGCACTAAAACAGGAAAACTCTGATTTTTAAGCAAAGGACTGAAGTTTACCTCAAAGAGTATACCTGGATTTTCCAACAAATGGCGTGGACTGGGAAAGTTTACCTCAAAGAGTATATCTAGATTTTCCAACAAATGGCGTGGACTGGGGGTAGTCAAAAAAAAAGAAGAGGTTATGTTTCGTTTTAAATATACAGAGTTTACGGCACTTGCAAGAGGCACCGTGAAGATCACACACACCTGTCTTCATGAGCTTGTGGGCTGGGCAGTTTCCCTCTATTCGGGCTCGGAGGTGGATAGCCGTTGTGCAGTTCGTGGTTTCTATAAATACTTAAATTCTGATAGAAACGCTCCCCATCGCCACCTTGCTGATTCTGCTGATTCATCAGATGCTGATTAGGTGGATGCTGCTGTTGGTTTTGTGATGGGTGGTGGGGAAGGTTCTGGGACGGATGCAGCGATTGCAGTGGCGGATGGTGATTTGTATGGGAAGGATGTTGGTTCTGCGATGGATGTTGCGGGTTTATCTGAGTTGGGTGTGGATGCTGATTCATGTGATGTGGTTGGATTGGTGACTGCAGATGCGGAGGATGGTGAAGGCTTGGATTCGAAGACTGCCTTGAAACAAGGCCACTTGGTGGCAATGCTGACGCGGGGATGCGAGGATCATTGAGATTCTGACTTGATCTATGAAAAAATAAAACAGTACACAATAAACATACGGAAGAGACGGATCCAACGCACTGGTGACGACACTATCATGGCTTCTTCTCCAATTCCGAAATGAAATCCTCACGGAAAATCTAATTTATAAAAACTGTCGTAACTTCCATCGTCATAAGTTAATAAAGATCATGAAAAATTGTAATAAACCAGAACTTACTTTGACCTGATCCCTGCCCCATTGGCAGGCTGTGACTGGACTTCATATGTTTTCTGGGGAATGCTATTTGTGGATGAGGTGCGGCTGTAGCCAGGGTTGAATACCTCATGTTGCTTGCTGCCAGGGGTGGAAGTGGGTGCTGGCCCAGGGGATGTGGGTCCATGAACAAGATCGCTGTTTCCACCTAGAAGAGATTAATGGTGATTAACATCAGCTCGATTCTGATCTTCTGGGTCGACATCACGTAGCCTCGTAGATGGTTACAGAGGACTTCTGCCCTGAAGATGGAAGAGAGAAGTTCCTCCAAAATGTTCGTAAACATAAGTGGTTTTATAAACAGACAGTACCACAACCCCAAATGCCATTACCCAAATTCTCTGCCATGGAAACCTCGGATCTCGTTAATATCAGTTGTTCTGCCACTGTAAAATTGACTGCGCGCCTTCTGTAACCACACGCCACTACATATATCACGGACGACCTGTAACGTGCTTGGAAAGGTGAAGTCATTAGTAAAGTTTCATCATCGTGTTACGGTGACAGTATTCAAACATGTACAAATACTCACTGTTTAGTGATGGAACAGATTTTGAACTCTGTATGGGTGCATGGGGTGCCATGTGTCGCCGTGAATCTCCGTTGTGATTCTGCTCACTTAGGAGTCTTGACGGCAAGTCTCTTTCACTCATACGACGAGGCCCTGTACAATTAAGCAATTACAACAGTAAGTAACAACTTTGTATGAGGACAATAGTTTTTCTGAATGGCTGCAGATGTCAATAGTTGCCTGTATAAAGTACTCTACAGCGACGTGCGTACATTTGTCAGAAAACTTTCCTTAAGCTTGATAAGTATTCCACATTGAATGATGGGACACTCCAAATTAAGTTTCCATTCTGTGAATAGCCCAAACATATTTTTTCCTATTATCCTTATTTAAGGGGGGAAAAAAAACAGTATATTTATGCTGTGTGCACATGGCACTCCCAATTTTGAACATAGCGACCCATTGGATGCACGCACGCGCGCAAACACACTCACACAACAAAAAGAAACTATGTCTAACAGAAATTAAATCTCGTCACAAACAAATTAACAATTAATCATTTAATTATAATCATTCCAGTCTATGTCTAAGCTTTTTATATTCTCGTCTCTGGCCATAATATCTGCCGTCTACCGGCCGCAATGCTTACCTTTAGATGAACTCCTAAGATTCGCTAATTGAAATAAAAACTGCAAATATATGGAACACAGAGTAATTTAACTTTTAAAAATGTGTACACTTCATGCATTATGGATGGGATATTGTGCCTGAGAAAATATACAGTAAAATTTCTCTTAAGCTGTTTTCTCAGTCACAGCTTTTCTAGGAAAAGAGATGAGCGGCACAACCGAGCCAGAAAGTTTCCCCAGGTTCAGTGTAACCTGAATGGCACAATGTAAAGCAAAGTTACGTAAGCCATGCCGATCTGCAACACACATGCAAAATACGTAACATATTTCAAATAATAACTTATGCCCCCAACGATGTAAAAATAAGTGCCACGTAAATCTACGCAGAGAAAACAAACGAACTGCCCTACCAGATACGACATAAAATGGTAAAATTAGTGTTCAACGTAAGGTGCATCATGAAGACAAACGAAAGGAAAACGGTTCAAATAATAAGAACACCAAAACACGACAGCATTCACATGATTGATCTGTTGCTTACACCTTGTGAGAACTGGGAGTCCACGTCCGGCGCGCTCCGGCTCTTTGCTCGCGCTCCCAGCGCTGGCTAACCGAGGTTCCAAATTACTTCTCACTTCATTTCCACCACAACCGACCAAAAACTTGTCTTGAACAGATGCCGACAGCAGGATATTATCCTCACTCTTGGGTCTATGGTCTACCAATCGACAAAACTTCATCTGATTTGGAAACACAACGCTCTCGGACTTTAAACAAGGTCTCAAATGACTCTCAGTTTCGGCACAGAGACGTCTTTCTTTGTCCCATGAGCGCACATTACCCTTAGAAGGTCCAACTTTCAAAATGTTATCTTCGCTCCTCGGCCGCTCAGAACTGAACAAAGGGAGGTCCTGATAGCTACCAACGTAAGGTACTGCTGACATAAAGCTCTCTACACTTTTACTGTGCTTGACAGGTGTGTCTTTTGAAGTAAGTAAGATAAAAGCTCTGTGCTTTGCCGCACCGACTTCATGCTGTTGTAGGCAACCGTTAGCGCTACTGATACAACACCGTAACTGATTTCCCACCGATTTAACTTCAGTTAAAACTTGCCTATTCTCCCGACTTCCGTCATAACTTGACTGTGACGCATCTTCGTGTCCTCGAGTCATTTCTTGGTCCTCTAACTGCCTTGCTACTGTCTCAAATTCCTTGTCCCCACTCCCTGCAATCTTAAATTCAGCGCCGTCATCTCGCGAGACAAGCTCCTCACAGCTCTTGTACTGATCCTGCACTTCAAAGTCGTCACTTCCGCATCCAAGGGACAAGCGATCAGCGCTGTAACTGACGGCTCCCAGCCCAACACCGCATACGTGACTGCACGAGTTGGGACGTACCGGTACGAGACAATCCCAATTACCATCTTTTCTAAGACATGTTCTGGTCATGTCAGGGACTGATTTAAACGCTCCGCTCCAAAGACCTGACCTAGTTCTTCCTCTACACCCTCCCCTTCCGCAGATTCGTATCAGTCCACTGTCTTCAAGGTGCGAAAAATGTTTAGCCAAGGCAGCGACACGGCCGTACCCTAACCTAACTTCTTCGGGAGATTTCCAACATTTTGATTGTTTACTATTGTCGGATGAGTTGTCATCATCTTTAATACAGCTCAGGTCCAAATTAAGCATCGACATTATCATATGTCCGTCAGTGCCATCGACCTCAATATTCTTGTTCTCCAGTTTACGATGCATACTGGAGCCACTGGTGTTCAGATTACTCAGCAAGATATCGTCGACATCCTTAACTTTCTTCGTATTCCCATTCGCACGGATACTTCGATCTGCAGTCTCATAATTTCTTCTATTTGCTAATTTAAATTCGGGTATTTCAGAATATTTACATTTGCTGCCCGTCTTACAGTTCGCAGACGGATCCGACGAGTCGGACGTCGTCGACGACGCGGAACAACATTCGTTCATGCAGCACGGAGAAGCAGAATCATCGCGGTCTCCACTCGATACAACAGACGACACAGAACTGTTTTCAACTTCGATAGCAATCCCAGGCATCTGCGCTGGTTTAAAAGCGACGTTATTCTTAGCGGTACCAACTGTATCCGACTCGACGCCGCGTCCTTTCAAAAACTTATTATGGAAGAATTTAGTCAACGCGGGGTACTCTTGCTTTTCGGGAGGAGAAACGCGTAACGAGAAACTCGCGTCTCCATTTTTTGTAGTAGCCGACTCCGTATTTGTTTCCGCATTACGAAACCTACCGATGCGTTTCCCATCATTCATCTTACACGTGCCAATGACCTTAAGAGTCGAGTGTTCGGGGTGAGAGAGAGGTACAGTCAAAGTGTTGCCTGACGCACCACCAGATTCACTGGTTAAATACGAGGTGGCACATCGTACGCACTCACAATGGTAAGGAGAATGAGATGATAAATTCCGAACAGGATTCACATGTACCGCAGAATAAATAGATTGGTTCAAAGGGTACAAACATTCCTTAGAGGCCAGACCTGATTGGCTGTTCCAGTCAACTCTTTCCTGATATGTGCTCGGATATCGTTTGCCGGTCGAAGCCGAAGAATGAAGGTTTGCTATAGACATGCTTGGTGCCAGGTGTCCTCTGGTAGGTGCGATGTCATAAGTTGGAGTAAGCAGTTCGGAGTTAGGGCGAGGTCTTGTCAGATTTGGAGCTGTTAGGAAAGTGTTAGAAGAAATGTTAGTACAGAAAACCATTCTCAAGTTATCCTAATTAAGAATTCTAATGGAAAATAATATACATCGACACTTCGATATCTGGCGCTTTGAAATACAGTATGAAAAGCAAACAAAGCTAGTCTGACCTCTTCCCATGACTGGCGACGGTTGCTGAAGTAACGTTGCTAAACCATGGTAAATGGCACCCTGCTTGGCGACCTCCAGCGTTACAGTTGGACCAGTTCGAACGAGATACTCAGCTGCCCTGTGAACAAAAGAAGAGCACCATTTTTATCATTCTTGCTGCTGGTGGCTCTTAATCGGCACACAACAGACGAAATGAATACCTGGAAAAACTTCTTTTTTAAATTTAAAAACAAATTCAAAATTTTTTAACTTACTTCTCTTGTGTAATTCCAACCAGACTCTGTCCGTCAACCTTCAACAGCTGGTCACCTGCTTGTAATTGGCCATCCTGAAGAGAATAATGGATAATCAACATACATAGAAAGCGAGAGAGAGAGACAAAGATGTATGAACGTGCGCATAGCGTATCAATTCTGGTGCATTCACTCCATTACTCGGCCAAAAACGTGCGCTCAATTTCCTTCAACAAGTCTTGTTCAAAACATTTTTCACTCTGATAAACATTTAGCGTGATTTCAGGTTTTCACGGCAACGAGTATCAAGACGGCCGTCTTCCGCGACGTTGAGCCAACATCCTGAAAGACAGCGTTCTTGACGTTATTTTAAATCACATGCCCACATAATTAACTGGCAACAAAAACAAAAACAAAGGAGCATCGCACTCGTGAAGCCGACTTCCACAACTCAATCAATTTATGAACGCTGGGAGTGGAATTGCACAGTTTTAGTTGTGTGAATAGTTCAACTTACGGCATCCGCGGCTCCGCCTTTCACCACAGACTTGATGTAGATGCCCAGGCGGTCCTGTCCTGCGCCCTAGAAACACAGCAGGTTGCATAATTACAGGCTAGGCAAGGGAATGCAAAAAAACGTACTCCACGTACTGAATTGAATGAAAAATCAGAAGTTTGTCCGGCTCAGGATAAAATTCAACTTCAAATTTTGGTTTTAGGGGGATGATCCTTAGGGCTCTGCTGTCTCATCAAATTACTCACCAGTACCAGTTAAATGGTACTGAGAGAAAAAAACTAGTTCCTAATCTGAACCAGTTCGAACCAACGCACATCCTCATGCACTATAAAATTAAGACAAATTTTAATATTATCCTCCAATTTAATTTTTAAACTTCTTAGCTGCCACCTTCTTACAAAGATCTTGTCCGCGACACTTAGCTGTGTCTACACCAAACGAACATAACCTCAAAGAAATTAGTGTTTATGTAGACAGATATCAAATGTTTTTGAAACAGATGATACAACTGGTAGTAGCGACTTGTGGGTGGGTGCAATGTCAGACTGGTATTCAAGTACTGTATCGAGAGGACTGGATGCTGAGGTCAAGGGTATCAACATTACACTGCAATGATCGGGGGGGAGCAGTTTCAGAGGCAGGCGACTGCTGTCCGATATCGCTCCTCTGTAACTATGGTAACTGCATCACAAATTCAGATGTCAATGACGTGAAATGCTAAGACGGCTGTCTTCTGGGATGCATCACCACACAGAATGGTAGATAGTGAACGACGTTTCAGAGGATCTTACTGCCTCCATCATCAGGGTGACATCCATCTTTATACTTCGAATCTCATCCATAAAAGGTTTTTGTTTCAAGCGATGATCACATATTCAAAATGTTATAAGCGAATTTCTTTCTTAAAGTTTTCTTTTAAGGGAGTTCGCGAGCCTGTGTTTACGTCCGAAAACCTCACGCGGGCTTTAACCTAGCCATAAGACGTCCACTAATAAAGAGGACAGTAAATTTTGAAAGGATCAGGAGATTCGACATCGCCCTGAAAGTATTTTCAATAGTTCAGTTCCAGAGAGACGAGCGTTTGTAGAATATATTAGGACATGACGTCCCAAGTCAACATTTTCATCTCAAGAAACAAGGTCAAAACCGCAGGAAGGGAGGAGCCTCTCTTCGCCTCCCCCCAACAAAAACAAAGAAATTACATTCGAAACGTGGTTCCGATGCGTCATCGTCATGGCAGGTTGAACAACACGCTGTGAAAATGTTTCTTTTGCTGTTACAAGACAATTACTTTAATTTCCGATTCGGGGAGTCTCTTAAACATGGCCAACATAAGAAAAGGATACTTAAAACCTGCAGCCTACACAATTATAATGATGCCCCCCCCCCAACTTCCGGGCGCTCCGAGCGTCCGTGAGAAAATATAACACGCAACACAACAACG